ACTTCCTGATAGTGAGACCAATTAACCAGTGGAACAGCTTCCCTCCAGAAGTTGTGAATGCTCCAATACTGGAAGTTTTTAAGAAGAGACTGGACAGCCATTTGTCTGAAACGGTACAGGGTTTCCTGCCTCCAAGGTCCCTTCCAACTCGATGATGATGATGATGATGATGATTACTACTATTATTACTACTATTATTACTATTGTTATTATTAAGATCTGTGCTGCAGCTAATTAATGCTTTATTAGGCAGGCTTTGCACTGGGCTCCTAACCTGCCAGTTGGTCCTGACTTCAGGATGACTAACACAAAGGAAATTTCTACCCTGGAATCTTATCTATTCTCTATTCCCCCAAGAAACACTTTTTCACAGGGATTGGAAGTTAGGTCAGATTTCCACCCAGGAATCTCTAAGGAATGAAGTTTTATTTTATGTATTTATTTATTTTATTTATGAGACTTATATACCGCTTTAAGTGCAAGCACTCTCTAAGCGGTGTACACCAGTAAGCAATGTATATATGTATTTACATTGCCCCCAACAATCTGGGTCCTCATTTTACCTACCCCGGAAGGATGGAAGGCTGAGTCAACCTTGAGCCGGTGAGATTTGAACCGCTGACCTGCTGAACACAGTCAGCTAAAGTGACCTGCAGTACTGCACTCTAACTGCTGCGCCACCTCGGCTCTTTTACCAAAAGACATCTGCTCTTGCATTATTTGTTGCCCGGAATACGTTAACATAATCCAGAAAACTCTCCTAATGCAATAAAATGATCCTGTCTGGTGGAATTAGAATAATGGCACTTCTCCCAACATTAGGCATCCGATGCCCCCCCCCCCCCGCGGTCGTAACTACGTCCCATCCCCCCATTTCTTTGTGCCTACAAAAAGGAGGAAAACTGGTGTGGTCACTTCCAGGCTTGCCCCGATGAAAGAAGCTCTAAGGCTGCTCGAAGACTGATAGATTTCTCTTCACCGCTGCTGCTGCTATCGCATAGAGCTCACTTGGGTCTCCATTTCAATCTCTTGGGTTGGATTTTTTTTCTTTTCTTTTGTTTTATAAACTTGCCTTTGGGCTGCTTAGGTTTTCTTTTCATTTTCTGACTTTTTTTCCCCTTACTTTTTAAATTGTCAATTGCCTGGAGTCGTTGGGAATTGGGCAGACATTTCCAGCTTGGTCCATCTCAGCCCTGGACTTGCCTCCTCTTCAACTCCCCCCCCCCCACATCTCTGCCCTTTTGGCAGCCCTGCACAGCAGCTCTCCTCTGTGTGGTACTTAGGTTGAGGTAGAGGCCTGAGGCCATCAGCAGTCTCAGCTGGTCACTTTCCCAAGCAGGGCCTCATGAAGAAGGCCTGGCATGGCCAGCAGCTAGCTGCCTCATGTTGGGCCACACTGGGAAGAAGTGAAGGCCAGCTGGGCGTGGAAGGGCCTACAAAGTGTAGAACCATGTGGGGCCTAAGTAGCATTTTTAGATCCAGAATCTAATCAGAATCTATGAATCTAGATTAGAATTGAATTAAAATCTAAGCTAGTTCTTAGATCAGTGTTTCTCAACCTTGACAATTTTAAGGCATGTGGATTTCAACTCCCAGAATTCCACAGCCAGCAATGCTGGCTGTGGAATTCTGGGAGTTGAAGTCCACATGCCTTAAAATTGTCAAGGTTGAGAAACACTGTCTTAGATCCAGAAAGAGCAAAGAATTTGTGGCAGCAATACTAGACAATATACCTGACCTGGCCAAATAAGATGCCCAGAAGCATGGACCTCATGAACCTCTGCCTTACTACCAACTTGTTTCGAATAATTGTTGGAAGTGTAAACAAAAGCCAATACCTATTACCATATCTGATGGGTATGTCCTAGTGCAAAAAAATTTTGGTTTAAGATTTATATAAGGCTGGAAAAGATGACTAAAATATAGATAGAATTTAAGCCAGAACTGTTTTTGTTAGGAATATTAGGATCTAATTATGGGAAAGAGACTGAGTATTTAATATTACATATATTGACAGCTGCGAGAATAGCATTTGCTCAATATTAGAAAAATGAAAACACACCATCTGATGAAATCATAATTAGGAAAATCTTAGAATGTGCAGAAATGGACAGATTAACTTTAGAAATTAAAGAGAAAGAAGACTCAGTCTTATTTTAAAACGTGGGAAATTTTTTACCAATGGTTAGCAAAACGAACGAGCGAGAAATGATGGTGAAATTTAACAAGATGAATGATATTTACTGATTAATTGATATGCTTTATGATCACTGTTATTTTTATTGATTATAGCCATTTACTATCATACTAATTATTGTTATTGAATACTTGTATCTGGACAATAGTCTGCTTGCTAAAGTGTGGAAATGTTATTGGGGGTAACCCCATTGTTGTACCTTCCCTTATCCTAACCCCATCCCTGAACCCTACCCTGAACCCCAATACCCATATTGACCCTATCCCTCCCCTACCTTGATAAAACCTAACAAAATATTGTTTAAAAAAAGATGCCCAGAAGCATGGACCTCATGAACCTCTGCCTTACTACCAACTTGTAGTTTGTTGGACAGATATATGAACAAATCAAATCTAATACCCGTCTAGCACTCCCACACAGACAACCAGAAGCATGTAGACAGCACCTTTGTCATAATAAAAATGGAACAACTACTAGACAGAAGGCACACGAGACAATCAAAATCATCTTCAAAGGAATAAAATTTACAAGGGGAGATGATAACAATATACAACCCTTCCTGGGTATCCTCAACAGCAGAGGAAATGACAGCAAATTAAAAATACAAAGCTATTGAAAAACAACCCACCCTAACCAAATCCTCCATTACCAAAGTAACAACCCAATCTTCCCACAAGAACAGAAAAGATCTTCCCCAGCAGCATTATTCAGACAAGTACCAACACAACGCAGCAACTTAAAGCACCAGAAAAAGAAAGCAGACTGCCTATAATACATCCTCTATAATACATCCATGTCAAACACAAGACCCAGGGACCGGATGCGGACCGCGAAGTAGTTTCATGTGGCCCGTGAAGCCATCCTGGAAATAGTGAGGGAACGGTCCCCACTGCCTTGGCCTTGGCCCAGGCTAACTGGGAGCCAATATACAATTTTGTGGTGCCCATCTATGCTGAAATGTATTCAGTCTTAGCTCCACAAGGCCGTCTAGAAACAGTGAGGAACCAGACCCTGCCGTGTCGGCCTCGCCCCCTGGGTGCATGCTGGGGAGGTGTCACCCTTTGTGAGGAATGAAGAAATGCACCATGCCTTGACGCTCGCCCTGGTCCCACCCCCTTCGCCCAGAGACCCTCAGATCTGTCCCACTCCTGCCCAGGCCCCCACAGGCACCCTTGACACGAATGATGTAGAGCTGGCCATACCCACTCCATCCACCCCCACCCAGTAGGCTGTACCCACCCTGGCCACACACACCCCCCCGAGGGCAATCGCAATGCTGATGGGGCCCTCAATGAAATTGAGTTTGACACCCCTGCTATAACACAATGGATACCCACCCAACTTTATATATATATATATATATATATACATATACATATACATATACATATATATATGTATATGTATATGTACGGCAGTGATGGGCAACCTTTTAGAGACCGAGTGCTCAAACTGCAACCCAAAACCCTCTTATTTATCGCCGGGTGCCAGGTGGGTGTGGCCCACTGGATGGGCGTGGCTGTGGTGGTCATGGCAGATTGGGTGGGTGTGGCCAAGGTTGGCGTGATCACCTCAATGTTGCTCATGGGGAGGGATGTCTGTGGGGGACGGGCAGGGTTGGGGGAGATCCAGGGGGTCTCTGGCAGGTGGGGCTGTGGGCAGGAGGCTCGTCCTGTGGGGTGAGGCGAGGCAAGGTGAGGCAGGGGCTGGGGTGGCTGCTGCCTGACATCCTTGGCCCCTGCACACAGAGGCCAGCGAGCGCATGGGTGCTGGGATGCATCCAGCCACATGGGACCTCGGCGAGCTAGCAGGCGGCTGGTTGAAGATGGATGGTTGCCATCTCCAGGGCATGCCGAGTGTGCCCACAGAGAGGGTTCTGAGTGCCGCCTCTGGCACGCGTGCCATAGGTTCGCCACCACTGCTGTATGGGATGAGCTAGGCAAATTAGCAATCAGGAGCCTGCCAACTAGGAGTCAGAAGACACAATAAAATATTAATCTCACAAGATATGGACAGACTCATCTATAGTATTAACAAGAAACTGACCAACCCAAATCCAAAAATGCAAGGGAATTCCTGAAAACACAGTATTCAGACCAATTAGTCAGCAAGACCCATAAACCATATTTACACACAACTCAAAAAAAGACAAAAAAACCCCACCCTAAAATGAAAACAAAAAGAACAGATCTTCCCTAGCAATCTACGCCCAGATAAACAGGGATTAACACTAGAGTCACAATCAGGCAGAAATCAATATCCTAATGAAGGAACTACCCAGAAGAAAACCACATCCCCACCAACGCTGGTACTGTATATAAACAGGGATCAAACCCTACATTTCCTCACACTGATGATGGAACCTAGTTGGGTAATAAAACATTTACAAACTACCAAACTCAGAGAGCACCAAGGATTTCACAACTGAACCCTACATATTCTCTTCTATTGGAGTGCCATAGATTGCAACTTACATATTTAAAGGAGCTTGTCTTAAAAAGTAGTTTCAGGGTGAATTGATGTTTTCAGCATTGCCAAAAGTTACAGTGCCTCTTAAATCCCCCCCCCCCCAAATCCAAGGAGGTTCTCAATTTTTGGCCCCAACCATCCTAGACCACAAAAGGAAGGGCCAGGCACACCCCTGCAAATGAAAAAGTAAACCTACCAATACTTAAACTAAATGGGGTGCATGCCATTCTAAGTTTTTCAAAAACTGAAAACTGAATAACTTATTTGGCATATCTCGATGGCTATTTGCAGGGAAGGGAAATCAAATGGATGACGGGAAGAGGGGTTGACTTACTTTTTTTAACAACAGGAAATTTTCCTCCACGTGCAGCAAATTCTTCCTCTTCTAGGAATTATCAGATGATCACACAGTGCTGAACATCTCATCTGAAAGTTAAAGGAAAAGAAAAACAGTGGTTGCCTTCTTTTGCAGAAGAGTTTGATGGTTCATTTTTTTTTTTTAGAAAAAAAAACACATCCTAGGGGAGTGAGCAGACAGAGCCCAAAGCTAATAATTAAAAAAAAATAAACCAACACTGGAGAAACTGCCGTTATCACCTTCATTTGGAAGAGGCAGCTACTACCATTTCTACATATGTTTTTTTGGGGGGAGCATGCTGCAGTGAACAAGTGAGCACAGACCATCTGTGAATACATAGTTTTTGTAATTATACCAGTTCAAAAAAGGAGCAGTGGGAAAGATCTTCTATACACATATGCACAGTGGGAGTGTATACATTTTGCATCCCTTTTAAAGTTAAGAGCAAAAGCAAAACAAACAAAATAGAAAAACACATCTACATGATGAGAAAATGCCTAACAAATGCTTTACAAATAAATGAAAAATACAACAAAAAGTTCTAGAGCAGTGATAGCGAACCTTTTAGAGACCGAGTGCTCCAAAACTGCCCCCGCCACCGCTCTACCCCCTACCCTGCCCCCACCCTGCCTGCCCGCAAGGCCACTCACCGCCTGCAGGGGCCGCTGCAGATCGCCCAGGCAGCCCAGCAGCGCCATGCCCTCTGCCCACACCCCGCAACATCAACTGTGCACGATGGGGCATGAGGGCAGTCTTGTCTACAGTGCCTGGCTGCCATGCCCTTGGCTGTGCTGCTCTGCGTGGGCCATGCTCAGAGGCAACTGTCCAGGGGGGCCCTGGTGAGAAGGGGGTCGTGGGGGGAGGCAAGTCTGGGGTAACGGCACATGTGCCCACAGAGAGGGCTCTGAGTGCCGTCTCTGGCATGCATGCCATAGGTTCGCCACCACTGATCTAGAGTATATATTGTTAAACAATTTTACATTTAACTATCTAATAAAAATATTTTATACATACACACAGAGATAGTACACTTATATCAGTATCGTGCTTTTTTTAACCTACTGTACTTGTATAAATGATAAATGATCTTTCCTTATATTTATCCATACAAAGCCTACATCGAGAGGCAATCCGCTCATAGGTAGCAAGTGTAATCAGGTTTTCAATCCATTGAGTAAATGGGGCCACACTTTTATCTTTCCAATATGGCAATATTTGTCTTTTAGCTATACCGGTAATAAGAGCATGGAGAATCCATTTAGGTTGTCCAGTTGTTAAATTCTATGTGCTTGGTATATAATTCCAGAGACTATTACACTCTGAAAATTGTAGCTTTTGTCACGTTTATATAGTCCACTACTTTCTGCAAAACTCAGCAACTATAAGATGCTGTAAAAATATGTGCTCTAAAGAAGGGCAACAATTTTTGAACCACAGTACATCAATGGGGCTAACTTACAGAATGTGCCCAAAATACGGGACCTTTGATTCCTAAGGAATGAAATTTAGGAAAGTTTGTGGCTGCTTCAATGCTACTGGTTGCTGCTACTGAGCTGCTGCTATGGTCACACAATCTTCATTTTCAACATTCCACAATAGTTTCCCAGCCAGTCTTGCAATCCCTTCTCACTCCCCCACCCAGTAGCAGCCAGTCACCTGCCTGCTGGAAAGGAAAGGGAGAAAAGGAAGGAGAGGCAGGAAGGAAGGAAGGAAGGAAGGAAGGAAGGAAGGAAGGAAGGAAGGAAGGAAGGAAGGAAGGAAGGAAGGAAGGAAGGAAGGAAGGAAGGAAAACTAACAACAAATTATTGTTAAATACATGTACCCAGACATTATGCTGTTTGCTAAATATTGAAAATGTTATTTGGAAAAACCCCAATCCCAACCCTAATCTCGACCCCACCTTATCCCTAACCCTATAAAAACTAATAAAATCTATAAAAAAAAAAAAGATTAGCCAGACTTGGCTGAGAGCTGCTATCTAATTGGGCTAGGTAAAAAGCAAAACAAAACCCTGAACCCAACATTTTGTGTAATTGCCACTCTGACTCTAGTTTCAGTACTGATGACCACTGCAGTGACCTGCCGATATGTGATCACCATCTGCACAAGCTTCCCAATTAGCTTGCAAGAAGCAGAGTTAATGCAGAACGAAGGAAGTAAAATTGTAATTTATGATGCATTTAGGATGTAAGGTCATCAGCATGCTAGCTGGAGAATTATGGGTGTTGATGTCCACACATCTTAAAGATGCAGATGTTGAGAAACACTCCTCTGGTGCCTTAGGCTTCTTGTACACATCGAACGCAATGGGATAAGCACCAGCAACCCTGGGTTGAGAAGCTGCAGGTGCACTAAGCAAATAGCTTACTCTCTTGAAATCCCTTCCTCTTCAATCTCTCCATTCTGCAGTATACAAAAAATCCATTTCTGTAGGCAATCTCCTCTTTGTCTCCCCTTTCATCCCTTCCACACCCCCACAGAGGGAAGATTTCAAGAAAGTACAAGTAGTCCTCAAAATTCCAGCTATCCCAGCATTCAGGTGATCGTGATCCAGGCACTTAGCAACTGGCTCACATTTATTATGGTTGCAACAGTCTTATGTTCGCAATTTTCCTGCCAGCTTCCCACAAGCAAAATGAATGGGGAAACTGGCCGGTTGTAAATCACTCAGGTAAGTCTCCCCTCCCCCGCCTGGCAGCCACCACTCCATGCCCCACTGCACTCATGCCGGCTACCTGCACACCCTTACAAACTCTACCCCAGCAGCCTGCCACCTGGAGTTTGCAACTTCCTGATAGCTTCATCACTGACTGGTTGTTCAAAGCTGGCAGGAAGTTGTGAGAAAGTCCTCGCTTCACAACCTATAAACCTCACTTAACGATGGCACCAGGGACTACAGAGATTGCCATTGTTAAGCAATGTGATCATGTTATATTGCTACGCTCTACGACTGCATCACTTAGTAACAGAATTCACCCCATGCCAGAAGATGACTTCACCTAGCACAGGGGTAGGCCAGTGGCACAGGTACTACCTGTGGTACATTGGCACCTGGCAGGTGGTACATGACCATCCTAGAAAGGTGGTAGCGGGGGAGGGGAATGAGCTGAACGGTAACAGCACCGCACAAGCCTGAGTGAGAGATGGCCGGAGCTGCAGGGCTGTCAGGGCTTAGTTCTCAATATTTGACCACTGCGTAATTACATGAAACTAAATAGGTGTGCATTTAATAATTTATCTTGCAAAATAAATTGGTGTTTCTCAACACAGTCGAAACTCCTCTTGCAGAAGAGAAGATGGCTGTTAGGTTATAGTGCTAAATGTTGTGGGGAAATAATAATAATTAGGACACAATATCTAGATTAATAAAAAGTAAGTTGTTTTTTCTACGGGCATTCTCAAAGGTTTGTAGAATATCTGACTGAAGGAACAAAGAAGAATCTTAGCGAACATACAATCATTTTGGAGTTTTCAGATGCCCCACTTTGATCATCAGATACTGGAGCAAGATTTCAATAGAATAACAGCTCAAATGTAAAATATAGTCACCAGCTTATTGATACAAACAGACCAGATAAGCATTCACACATGTTTTCATGTAGATATTAAATAAAGGGGGAAGAGAACTAAACATAGCTGCCACTTCTTCTTGTTGTTAGTTGCGAAGTCGTGTCCGACCCATCGCGACCCTACGGACAATGTTCCTCCAGGCCTTCCTGTCCTCTACCATCTTCTGGAGTTCATTTAAGTTCACGCCTACTGCTTCAGTGACTCCATCCAGCCACCTCCTTCTCTGTCGTCCCCTTCTTCTATTGCCCTCGATCTTTCCCAGCATTAGGCTCTTCTCCAGGGCTTCCTTCTCATTAGGTGGCCAAAGTACTTGAGTTTCTACTTGAGGATCTGGCCTTCTAAAGAGCAGTCGGGGTTGATCTCCTCTCGGACTGACCGGTTTGATCGCCTTGCAGTCCAGGGGACTCGCAGGAGTCTTCTCCAGAACCATAGTTCAAAGGGCTCCATTCTTTGGCGCTCAGCCTTACTTATGGTCCAACTTTCACAGCCATAAGTTGCAACTGGGAAAACCATGGCCTTGACTATACCTACTTTTGTTGGCAGGGTGATGTCTCTGCTTTTTAGTATGCTGTCTAGATTTGCCATAGCTTTCCTCCCCAGGAGCAAGCATCTTTTACTTTGTTGGCTGCAGTGCCCATCTGCGGTGATCTTGGAGCCCTTTATGATCAAGTGGAACTGCCTTCCCTGCCAAACTATGCCTCTAATCCCAAACTTCACCTATGATCCAAAATGCTACCTAAGGCCATTTGGTTGCCAAACAAGACCAGAAAGGTGTGCTCACTCAGTCCAGATCCTGCAATGGTCAATCCACCAATGCAACCAATGTTATTTCAGATCCACGTCCAGCTCTGAATCCTAATAAATCTACTTTAAAGCACTCACCATCTTTCTCCCAAAAATAAAGTTTAAAGGATCAGCTACCGGTGGTGAAATATAGCTTGACCCAAGGAAAGCACATAACAGCAGCATTTTATAAGGCCAAGGGATCAGCCTGCCAAGAGATGTTGACAACTACTTGGATCCAGCCACTCATGGGTTCCCCTGATTCTGAAGGCACTGGGAGGGGCATGATCAAGATCATAGATGGAACAAATCATGCTATCCAAGGTTGGTCATTCACACGATAAGATGTGTCATCCCAGTCACCACTTTGGACTTTACCAAGGAAAAGTCACAATTCAGGTGAAACAAAGCAACTTTGTCAGAAAGGGCTGCACAAAAGAGTTGCACTCCAAAGAGTGCAACTTGGTGGCACAGTGATTAGTATGCAGTATTGCAGGCTGAGTCTGCCCTACAGCCTGAAGTTCAGTCCTGACCAACTGAAGTTTGACTCAGCTTTCCATCCTTCAGAAGTCAGTAAAATGAGGACCCAGACTGCAGTTGCCAACACAGTGCTAGGCTGCATTAACAGTGGGATAGAATCAAGATCACGTGAAGTATTAATACCACTTTACAATCCCTTGGTAAGGCCACACTTGAAATCCTGCATCCAGGATTG